GGAGATAGTGTTGAACATCTATCGCCACTTCCATATTTCTCTGTCTTTACATAGGGCCCAGTGCACCTCCTCAGAATGTAATAGGTTATAACACCAGCTCGACCAGCATTAGAGTTACATGGAATGAGGTGCCGGAAGACAAAAAACACGGTGATATCGAATACTATACTATATTGTACAAAAAGATGACAGATATCAGTTATGAGTCAGTACCAGTTACACCAATGTCGAGAAGGTTTATTGAGCTAAAGGGACTTAATATGTACACATTTTACGACATCAAGGTCTCAGCTGCTACACATGTAGGGAGTGGACCAGCAAGTGATCCTATCAAGGTCCGCACAGACCAGGATGGTAAGTAAAAGAAGACTTTCGATAAATACCTCAGCGGCTAAAACTCTGGAAAAAAAGAGCAGAAGATTCTGATTTATGACATAATTTTATGTGCGGATTTGCCTTTAGTATAGTTACCATACAAATTGTCATTTGGGGACAGGAAATACGGTTAAGTGTGTTTACTTGCTTTTCTGCCATAACCGTTGGTGGAAGTGTCTGGTAGAAGTATGCCAAAAGAGCTCCATGCTCTAAACATTGTGAGGTGTCATGACCTCAAATGACAATCATGGTTTAGTTATCATTTGTGAGGTGTTTCACAGTCGGTACGAAGTCTGAAGGATATGTGGAATTTGACTTTTGCTTCGTGGTTTATTCAAACTATGCGAAGATCGATCTGCTTCCCAAGTTCTGCTATCGCTATGTAGCCAGTGTTAATAAAAGTCCCCCTTTCTCCTGTTAAGGAATCAATTTATCTCTCATTAGCCTTAAAGCTTTTCCAGTTGTAACTCATAACAGATGCGAGAAAAAAAATGATAATAAGTAAATGTCCTGTCTTTTTTTTACAGTGCCTTCTACGGCTCCTACATTAGTGTCTGTACAAACACTGAACAGCACTAGCATAAAAGTTAAATGGTTGGCAGTTCCTGAAGAATCCACACACGGAATTCCAACCAGATACACCATTTACTACGCATACTCCGATGGGAAGGTGGATACTAAGGTTGTAACACCTGTTAAGGATCCCATCACTTATCAAGAAGTTGTGTCTGGTCTTAAGGAATCTACTGAGTATTCATTCCAAGTTTCGCTTTCAACTGCGAAAGGGGAAGGTCCCCTAAGTGTGTCCAAATCCTCTGCAACTGAAGGTGTATGTAAGTTGCCCAAATCATTCTTTCATAGCATTTGTATGTATTATCAGCAACAACGCATATTGACTCGTCTCGTTTGAAATTTAACTTAATGGAAGACTTTTATATATGTCTACGCTGGTGCTACTTTTCGCACGATTCTTAAGCTATCAAAATAAATTAGAGTGTACTTTTACACCTATAAAAGTGCTCACTCTAATACCTTCTTAAGTGCCACTTCAAGACCATTTGAAGTCCACCCTTCCCAAGATTCCGAAGAGTGCGCACTTCAAGACTCATTTGAGTGAAATGCTCTCAGACAAGTTTGGATGAAAAACTTTCTAAAATGCCCACTATATGACAACTTATAGCGTGCTTTATAGAAAAAAAATATATAGTGCGTACTTTAAAGACATTTTAGAGTGCAAACTTCGAGACTCTTAAAAGACTCCTCATATCACAAAGTGAAGGTTTCTTTTAAGTATAATGAACCTTAAATCAGGTTCGAGGACGTTCAGGTTCCTTAAAGAGCGCACTTAAAGACGCTTTCAAGCGCGCTCTGTTAGGCTTTAGATAGTGCACACCTCAATGCTCTTTGAGATGTTCACCCTAAGACAATTAAAAGAGCGTATTTTAAGGCTGCTTAAAGTGCGCACTTTAGACATATGATGATTCTCGCTTTAAGATTCCAAGTTAGTTTGAAGATGAGGACACCTCTAAGTGCGTATTCAAGGACTCTTTAATTTCAACTAGACCCGTTTTTAATTAATCAGGATCAAGAACGTTTGCCGGTTGTTATTGTTTATAATCTTGCTTTGCAATGTTCTAATGTCTTCTGATTTTTTAACACCACACTGTGTGTATCACTTGGTTTTGACTAATTTTCTGTTGACTTTAGGTAGCCACACTTTCCAGAAATAATATAAAGTGTTGGGTGATGTATTTCAGTGCTGCAGAAAATTTCTCTAGGCGGATTATACCTCAGAAACCATACCACGATGTACTTTTTATTTCCTTGAGTGAATAGTAATGAAATCATGACACTGAACATGCTTTAAGAATGTGAAAAGAAACATAACTGTCTGGAAGTTGTCTTCAAATGAGCTGATTAGTTTACAGTACTTAGTGATCCGCCAGTTGGCTACAGCAGAAAAAGAAGGACATGTACACTTGAAGAGAAGAACCGGAAAGGTTTAGTGAGTAATTTTCAAGTCACGGTTCCTGAACCTCTAAATTTTTAGGGAAATCTGAGTAAACGCCACTGTAAGTACGTGACATTGCTTTTTTAATGAATTTATTCACCTATTTGAGTTATTGTCTTTGGTTGATTACCGGACACCCAGACTTCCTATTGAGATTGTCCCTTCCACTTCTGTCCTGTTTTTTCATGGTCGTAAATGGTCATAAGTGGTTGTAAATAAACCTTATGCACTTAAAGTTGTTTACTTTATTTGCCTTCAGGGATGAGAGATTCTCAAGGAGCAGCTATGACCGGACAGGTTATCAGTTCAGTTTGCGAACCAACTGGGCTTTGATGGAACTTAATAAATTAAATAACATGATTTGTGCGATCGATGTTACAAATGAAACAGAAATGAATTCACATAATAGCACATGTCAACAATAAGTCTCTTGTACAGTAACTTCAATATTTCAGTCCGACTTCACTCTTATCCGAACAAGCCAGGCTGCAAAGTTAGAGGTAAACTTTCCCAGGGCCAGCAATCAAATCTGTGAATTTTTCTAATCACACGGTGTGGTCCGGGTATGGTGCTCCTAAGTGTCTTTATTAAGCTTTCTCTTCTTTTTTTTTTTTTTTTTTTTTTTTTTAAGGGAATTCGAAGTTTTGGATTAAATCCCTCAGGAAGAGGTTCAGAGGTAAGTTATCGTTAAAAGTCTTGAGACAAGATAAGGGTGGTGAACAGAAATGAATTAGTGCCTTACCTATATTTATGCTTCAGTGACTTTTGTGGGCTACCTGGGTAGTCTTACTTTGAGGGTCTCAATGGGGTGATGGCTTTTACGGCTATCGGTTACAATTTTGGCCAATTTCCGGCTAACGGTAAACACATTTCCATTGTTTCCACCAGAGATATTTTTTACGTTTAACTTTTTTTACGACTAACGGTTAAAAGTTGTCAATTTTTACGTCTAACGGCTAAATATTTTGGCCGTTTTACGGCTAACAGTTAACCCCATTGGGACCCTCTACTTTCAAAGACAACCCTTTTTCTTTGGGAGTGGTCCGTACACCTCACGCCTCCCTCCCCTCCGCCCTCAAATTTTGAACGGGGGGACATCTGAGAGGGCTAAATGAGTAAAAAATATAGGGATAACAAAACAAAATTCACAAAGCACGAAACACACAAACCACAAAATATAAAATACAGAACGCAAAACACAAAACACAAAACACGAAACACAAACCAAAGCAAAAAACAACTGAGAGAGTTAAACGAGATTCACTCTGAACTTTTGAATTTATCTTATTAGAATCGATCAAGGAATCCGCAAATAAAACACTACCTTGAGTGTGTACCACGGAAAAAACTGTGACACTTAAAAAGGCGTTTACAATAAAGGATGAGAATCTATGGTTCCCTGGGTACGTGCAGACATGATGACCGCCATAAGCACGCGGTGAATGATGGAGGATACCCCACGACAAGCGAAAAGATTCACAATTTTCAATTTACGAATTCTACAGTAGTTATCAGTTACTCTGAATGGGAAGTGATATCTAAGTTTGTGTAGGCTCTTTGTTTATTTGTTGCTAGACTGGAAATTGGATTTTATTCTTATTACGCTCGCTTGTTTAGGTGAATCTTGAAATTTTTGCTGGTCTGTAAGCTTATGATATCGGAAATATATGTTTAATTCTCGTTATATATATATATATCTCATAAACCAATTACTGCATAGACAGTGCCTAGTGAGGATTTTATTCACTCTTTGCAACTCGTCAATTAAAACCCGTAAAAAGCACTTTCCATGAAGTAATCTACATTTTTTTGTTCAGTCCTACTGTGTAGTCAGTGAATTTTAGTGCTATGGGAAAACTCTCAAATATCAGCCGTCTTGTTCATTGAAGATCAAGAACGTTCATGAAACGTTTTCTCCAATTTTCACAACAACTTTCGCTTGTAGTTAAGCTCATACCAGAAACAAGAGGTGCGATTCTTTAATCGCTTCGAGGCTTTCCATAGAAAAGCGTCTCTTTCGCACGCATTTAACACCAATAGTAAGATCAAGAAATATTTATTGTGCGTTGACGTTTTATCAGGCGACTTGACTTGCACATAGAGAGAGGTGGTTTAAACGAGTCACTGCAATACGAATAACTTTTGTAATTTTTAAATTTGCGAGCCTTTAGCTCGATGCACTCATCGAGGGTCAAGTCTACCCTTGGGTACGCTGATATGAGATTGATTTTACCAGTGCAAATTTACACTACCCGCTCTCCCAATGCAGCGAAATTGTCACTCCGATAATTTTCTCGATCAGTTACGAGCTTCTCCGCCTCCCTTCGGCCAAAGTCCCTCAGGGCTACCGATTACAGAAGGACTTTTGTTTGACGCTTAATGGAAAGGCTGAGCCGGAACAATGGACAATGATATGAAGACTTGCGAGATCAGTTCCTAGTTTGGTTTTTTGTTTTAGATCTACACAGGTTTCTTGATCAGCTGATCGTAATAAAAAGGAATAGGAAAAAATTGCACTATTCTTGAAAATCTTCTGTAGTGGACACGCAAATCATCTACAAAATTAGAGAAAAACTGTAGCCATGGTATAGACATGATTGAAAGTACGAGCATGGAACAAAATTATCTTTTATTGTTAGAATACAGCTAAAGCTTCAATTGTATAGAGATTGGACTGTCATCCGCTGAAATTATTTCTGCTTGACTCCAGCGAATGGTTCAGTTTATACTGATTATTTTTTCTACAAGATAGAAAACTTAACTATTTTCATCCACAGAACACAAGCTAGTCTCAGGAAATCCCGCCAGTAGGAGACATAGTCAAACAATTCCACTTTCACAAAAAGGCTGCAAAATCTGGAGCGAGGTTAACAAGGTTTTTGGCTGATTCCTTTGAAAAATGACTGAACCATGGTTTCTGTGAACTTGTGTGTTTAGGATTCGGTTACCCTTAAGATTAATTTTTTTTTTCTTCCTGACAGAAAGTTGTCACCATATGTTTCAATTAACTCAGCCTAGAAACACGAAAAAATGAAATAAAACGTCAAATAAAACTTTCAATATAATTTGATCGATGAATCCATTCGCAAATTATACTTTTAGATCTTGTTTTTTTTTCCCTGTGGTTTAAATTTGCTTTACATTAGCGAATCCCAATTTTTTTTTCTAAGACTGTCGTCGGTCATGATCACAACCTAATTTAAGCGCTAAGCGCTTATCCACATCATCTATCTATCCTTAGCAACTGGGTTTACATATCTGACTGAGTTAACGGCACTTTAAAGAAAATCGCCGCGCTTTTTACGACTTAATGTTGATTATTTCATCTCTAGTTAGAGCACGAAAGAAATTAATTCTTGCTGAATTTATAACTGTCCTTCATTCTTGAACGGGTGCAGGCACTCAGAAATTACTGTAGGCATCGAATGAGTCTAAATACTCACTGAGAGCAGAGTAAATAAACTCATATTGATCCTGAAAGAGTGAAAATCACTAGGTCAGCCATACATTCACAAGTGTATTTCAAGTTACTAGAAAAACCTCAAATAGACTGCTCGGCCATTCCAGTTCCTATTAGACCCTTCTGATCTATCTGACATAAGTCTTGGTTGGTTCAAATTGTACTTTCTATTGTTTCAAAACAACACTTGTATCCTATAACATATGTTATTGACTGCCCACTCTCGCAGCCATGCAAGTAGAGAGCAAAATTAAATTCCAACCGAGAAATAAAAGCCAATTGCCCTCTTCTGTGACGGTTTTTAAGTTGCCTTGAATACCTCACAAAAAAAATAACACACCTTTGTCTGGACCATGGCAGGTCTCTCAACTCTCAGCTGCTTCACAGTCTGGAAAACGTCTACCACACCTTCACTTTTTAACTGTCCGATTAAAATACTGAGGGCGCAGAACACTCCTGTGCGACCCACTCCAGCGCTGAAATGTGAAGTTGAAGATGAAGTTGAAGAAGAAAATAAACTTAGGGTCTGCTGTAAACTGCGCAAAATGTTGTCTTTCCACTAGCATTTATTAGCGAAGGGCAATACCTGATATTAACATGCTACAAGAGTTTTCATTGATTGATAAATTAACATTTAAATGAATATAACAGTTTATAACGAGCGTAGTAATTGAAATATTACTGCAAAGTGGTATATAGGATGAATGAAATACATGAATGTGCGCAAATTGGTAACATTACAACGTGCGCGTTTTAAATATTCCTACCCAGTGAAGCAAGCGAGTAATACTAAAACCGACAAATTGATATGACTGTCATTCCACTGTTAGGAATGAAAAGATCTTCCCTAGGGCCTTAATTGTCCACTTATAGTTACAGGGTATAAATGTTTTGCAAAGGTGGCGGGAGCGAGATTCAGGAGACAACGTTAGGACTAGGAAGAATGTTCTGACCATAGGAACACCAGTGAACTAAATAACGACTAAATGAGCATTTTTCAATTAGGACCAAAGCCAGACTATAATATATACATAATATTTTAATTACAAATACAAACCTGCAGTGCACAGTGATCTTGGTATTTTCTGACTGCTGCTGCCACCGTTGTACCTGCCCAATAAGATCGATCAAGCCAGTACCTGATTCTGGAGATCCTGAATCAGGCCATCCAGTGTAATGATACTGACGAACAACTCGCGATGCACTTTCCTGAAATATTGACAAGAGAAATGTGTGTGTTTGATAAATGCTGTCAGTAGAGATTTTAGGGTGCATGTGATCGCTTTGAAGAAGATAAAGCATGTCTTGGGAAATTGGCACGTTTTGTCTTCTAAATTATCATATTGTTATGGTCCTAAAAGCCTTTTATTAACTTCGTCTTCTTGGTTCGTATTATGTGTAAGTTAGGACCCCATTCTTCTCCTTCAATCTAGGAACCGCCATGGATGGATCTCCCCGTAACACACAAATTCTTGGCTAATTCCCTAACATTTTATTGTTAATAAACAGAAAGTTGCTGAAGATTAACTGAAGAGTCATCAGAAGGAACCTTGGTATGGGTGAGTTTCATTTCTCTCATTGTGTAGTCTTCATAGGCCGTCTCGCTTGTTTTTTCCACTACCAAAGTGCCAATGTGCGCGGGCTTCTCTGCAGGCCAGTATTGGTGTACTTTAACCTGTATACATAAGATTAAGCTTTAAAAATCGATTAAATTCAAATTCAGATCAATTACATAGATAGACCTCCTACCCTATACAAGTTAATTCCCTCTAAACGATGACTCAAAAGCTAAAGATATTTTAGTTGATGCTTAGTCATATCTTTTTTCCCTACAGCCGTTACGAGTAAGTGGATGCATGTATCCATTCGCTGATATTTAAATGATAATGTTTACACCAAGTTATGAGGAGTAATACTGCATGCGCAAGACAACGAAGCTTACAGCCGCTCACTAAGACCAACAAACTGTTACAATCGGGGGTCTTACTACACTTAGGCGGACCAATCTACAAGTAAAGAAGGCTTTTTTATAGGTCTCTCAGAAGTTGCTCACGAAAGTCGACTGTTAGGAATACATACTTAAATATGACCGACATAGAACGGGGCTCACTTACCACTGTAAGGCATCTCTATTAACCCCTGCAAAAATAACATCCCTAACAAAGAAGGTAACCTTTTTCCCAGATTGATGGATTGATTGTTTTAGTTGATTGATAAATTGTCGGTTTATTGAGCATACCTTTTCACCTTCTGTTTCTTTTGATAACACGACTATGGTGGAAGATTCTTGTTCCCAGATCATGCGCCAAAAGTCTGGTATAGTATCAGGTATGGGTGCCTGAGTTGCAATGAATGCTCTCCTGGTCATGTAGCCATCAATGAAGTTAGCATTGATGTAATCAGAGCCTTCCACGCCTGAGATTACACTCAGTTTAACCCGGGTTTCATCATACGGTAACGCATTTGGATAACGATTCTTGGTCACGTTGCAGGCCATGTTGGCAGCCTGAGCTGTGAGCTGGGAAGCGTTGATGCAGCGACCTAGCCGGATGAACTCCTCATCCATCTCACTTTGGCCTAACAGCATAAAAAATGACCTTATCACATCAAATCGAACAGAGGATGAATAATACTCTCAAGGCAGACTGAGGTTGAGAGAAATTCGTTTGATCAGAGGAAATTTTTCGTGAAGTTTCATCATAAACCTTTTTAAAGCCTCGCAGCCAGAGGATGTTACATGAGAAAACCGCTACATTTATAAAAACCCAAGTGGAATGAAGCACCATCAATAAAATGGTTTAGTAATCGCCATTAAGCCTAGAACTCACAGAGTAGCCCTTCTATGGAGTTATTTCCAATTCGTAATATGAATTAGATAGGGGATTGACAGGATGGTAAATGCTGGGAAAGACACATACCGCTCGTTTGATTCACTTGCATGAGGTTCTTGATGTGAGATCTAAGATCATTCGCGTGTATTTCAGTGAATCCGGAATGAATGGCTTCCACCAGGACGTCATGAATCAAAATGTACTGCTCTTCAACTTGCACCATAAAGTTTCTATCTTGTCGCAATGAGGTGACATATTCATAGACATCCACTGTTTTCTCTGCAGCAATGCGGCGCAGCATTGCGTCTACCACAATAAATGTACCAGTTCTGCCCACCCCGGCACTGCAGTGAACAACCTGAATGAAAATTCACTAATAATATATCGGAACTAATAAAGAACCAAATATACGTGCCTCTTTTAATAATATTTTTATTTCTGCAGTCAGTATTTGCTTAGGTTGTGGAAACTTTCCTCTCAGTCATCACTTGGAGGAAAGTGGAATTTTTTTTTTGTTTAAATTTTTCTAGAATGGAAGTTACCAATAATATTTCCAGTATGCAATGCGCCATTTACCTTACTAGAAAACATTTAGCTGACTGTACACCCCCCTCCTCATTTAAATCCTTTCTCACTTCTTCCTGCGAAACGTAAGATAACTCACCATAGGCCCTGCGTCTGGAGGATTTGCTCTAGAAGCCTTTCTCACAAACGTGAGAAGTGAGGAAGGACACTCGGGAACACCATGGTCAGGCCATACCGTGTAATGATACTGATTTACAGTTCGTTGTTCTGAGTTATTGGCGTGCTTTAGAGTCATGGTACGGATGGTGAATTCAGTGAGCTGCACCGTCTGCATCAAGGTTACTCGAATGTCACCATACGATTCTGCACCTTCTGATGGCCAATACTGGTGACACTTCAGGCGACCCTTCTCCTCCAAGTTTGTCACCTAGAATAGGGTGAACGGGCATACTTCAAGCGTTTCATGGTGAACTGTGTTAGGTTATTCACAGGGATGAAGGAATTGGGTGAGCACCTCATCTTTCCCAAATCCTCTCTCCGACTAGGATTATAGGCGGGCACTCGCAAATTGTCGAGGAAAACTGATAATATCGTACGGGTGAGGGGAAGGGGTGGGGGAGGAGTGGTGAAGCATCAATGGCTTAACATTTCATTCCGAAGAAATAATTCCTTTCTAAACGGTTCATGTTACAAAAACCACAGACTTTTACACACACAATCGACTGGAAAATTTTAATTCTGTAATATGAAAGAAATTCAAATTCTTTTAAAGATAGGCATGGAAAGATGTGACACTTTCTCTTATGGCTACGCTGCACAATGCACGGTAAAATGAACATGACGCAACTAAATCATTACAAGTGATCTACGTTGATTATTACTTATTATCAGAAAGCACAAACCATGACGATTGTTTTTGTCCCTTGCTCCCAGACCATTCTCCAGAAGTCATCTGAAGTGTGTTCAAGTGGTCCTTGGGTGGCGATATATGCCTTATCCTTCTGATAACCGTCAAGGAAGTTGGCGTTAATGTAGTCAGAGCCCCGCACACCCTCGATTGGAGTCAATTTTACTCGGCTGTGGTCGTACGCAACGATATTGTTGTAACGGTTCTTGTGTTTGTTCTCCTCGGCCAAAGTGGCTTTGGAAGTAACATTTCCTTGAGAGCGTATAGCACCATACTCAACAGAAAATAAATCATCCTCTTGAAGGCGTTTCACGTGGTCTTCAAACTCCTCGACAGCTATTTCCCCTTCTGGATCGAAGTTTTCTAAGTTGAATAGAAAAAAATTATCAGTTTATTATTTCATTTGCACAAACAAAGGTTCTTTATCTCAATCTTTGAAGAGAGCCAATGAGCAGGTTGCTATCTTTCAATTCTATTCATGATAACATACGCACTCATGTACCGGTTCAGTAAACTGTCGCTTATGAACCCCCCCCCCCCCCCCCCCCCCCCCCCGTTACATGCCCTTTTACTTGTAAATAGATATGCATCCAACTATAAGCGGCTTTTCATGTTTTGAGATAGGTAGGGAACTAGTTTTACAAAGACGTTTTGAAGCCTAATTAATCAAAAGGATAGAAGCTCCACCGCTTGTAAGTCTCCCCTAGAACCCCTTTCGAGGTTTATAAGACCAGAGCTTGTAAATTCAGTAATATTATTTTAAAGCAGCTCTTGTTAAACAAACTTAATGTACGAAAATGACTGTTGATCGTGCAACGATGGTACAAACATGGTTCACCATTATTATTAATTGTATATTTGAAATTCAATACCAATCCTCATAACTCGAACCCCCACTAATTCAAAATAGTTAGCGGAGCTAACTATAATTAAGTTCCAGTTTTCAAAGCTCATTCTCTGAGAAATAAATTTTGGAAGATGGAGAACGATGTCATGGGGAACAATGTCTCATGGAGATGCTCTCTTTGGTGTTGAGTTGGAGAACTAGACAACAGACCCTGTGTGTTAAAACCTGCTCGTGCGCTACGTAAAATAGTATCACAGACGACGAAGAAAAGCTCTATCAAACATTGTTATCGTAAGGCAAATGGTTACAGTAATGTAACAGAAGCCAAACAAATTTTCGGCAAACCAAAAAGAGGCAATAAACAAAGAATTACATCAACCCAGAGATATTTAAACTAGGTGGTGAACTAGAACATACCGTATCCTTGTTCTTCCAAAGATATCTCTTCGCCGTCGTCATTCGCATTATTCTGCCGTCGACCGCGTAACCAGACAATCACGATTCCGCCGACAACAACTACACACACTATGAACAATCCTATAAATACTCCAACAACAATCAGGTGTTTGTTCTTCTTTCCAGGTGTTGGCTCTTCTTCTCTTGGAAGGGTTTTGGTCGTAAACTGAGAAAATCCCTCATCTTGATAATAACCATTTTCGCTAAGGGAACGTTGAAAAACAGCGTACTCCGTGTCGTCATCAAGCTTACCATTAAAATACTTTGTATAAACTAAACGAAAAAAAGAAAGGAAAGTCGAAAACACTAAAAATTAAATGCAAGATTTGATATCCAAGTAACATGACAAAAGAGCCGCAGAACCCACCCCCAACATTCCTAACAAACCTTTGGGTCTTCCTACTAAAAGGGTAATTAATATTAGCAACTGAGTTGATGACATGAATTGGCTACCGTAAAGAGTTTAAAAGCTGACGTGTAGGGCGTTAGACCTTCGCCATTCACTCTGACGAAGGGCTAACACTCGAAGCGTCAGCTTTGAAACTCTTAACGATGGCCAATTTACGTCTTCAACTCATTTGACAATACTTATTACCCTGTTATATTCTCCAACTGACGCAGCACCACAGTTTCTTTAGAAAATTATCCACTTCATATTTTTCCTGCCAATAGTTTGACACCAAAAGTTGCATATTATTACTCGACTGGCGTTTTTTTTTTTTTTTAATACAATAGTGAGTGAATGGGAGGGGAAAGTATGATTCTCTGGATCGTCATGATCGTCTGAATAGTCTTGGAAAAGTTTCGCAATAATCGAGGCAATTTCGTGGAAATACTACCAAGACAATTGGGAGGTTTGGACGGAGCGCACTTTGATCCACACAGTAGTGTTCCCTTTAGATCGCCACAATTTTCTTTATCTCTTGAGAACACCCCCTGATCGCATGGAATCTAAGCTTAAGCAAGTTTAATTTATGTAAAGGACGTTCAATTATTTAATTATTTTGCCCCTCTCCATTTCGATCGCTGTATTCATACAGACTGATGCAATCCAACAAGTAGGTAAGGAAATGCATATAACAAAATAGATACACGGAGTCAGCTAAATCAGTTTGTGAAACTTAAATCTGTATTTAAGTATAATTTGTAATTCAGATCAACTGGGAGAAAGTTTATAATTACAGTTACTCACCTTCTCTGCGCTTTCTTCTTGCCTCAACATGACTTTCTCTTGAATAGTACTTCCCATCTCCAACAGGAAAGGTTTTCCTCTGTTCGTTATTGTTAGAAAATTCAGCCGTAATGTAGGGTTCACCCTCCGATTTATCTTCATACCTTTTGATGACATTAACATACTCCTTATCTGATGGTTTTCCAGGATCTTTCCTTTCTTTTAGTGGTACGACGATGATTTGGTAGTAACTGAAATAAATAAAAAAAGGTATTTATTAAGCAATTTTGAAAGTCAAAACCCAGTTTAATGGCATCCCATTAAAGTAAAAGAGGAATTAATAAAAAAAAGCGAATTCTCAAACGAGCAAACAAGTAAGGTTTTAACATGATATCTGCTTAAACAAACTTTAGATGATAAAAGTGAAAGCACGCAGTGACCTTATTAAAGTTATCACGACTTAGAAAAAAAAAAAAAAGCAAATTTCAATGACAGGGTTAACCCTTTAACTCCCACGGGTGACTGAGACAGAATTTCTCCATACCAAATTAATACACTATCAAACAGACAAGTGATGAGAATAAATAAAAATATCAGCTTGGGGATTATTAGTTGATTCAATACCAAATTCTCAGAACTAATATCATAAGAATTGTATGGCAGACTGTAAGGAAAAGTACTAGAGATCCTGGGAGTGAAAGAGTTAAAACTCCTTTGTAGGAGATATTGCATGTGATAATTGGGGTGATTTATTGAATCAACTTTAAGATTAGACTTTGGAATCATTTACAATTCAATCTCGAGATAGAAAAACCGACAAAAAAACCAGCAATGTATGAAATAAACAATTCTAACCTGACTTTATCTCCATTACTCAAAATTTGCCAGGGTTTAAAGGCAACAGAAACTTCATTTGTCCCTATGTCGTCAGGATCCGGAGGGGTGGGAGGGTCTTAAACAAAGAGAAACACAGATAAATGCAAATCAAAAAGAATATTTAGAAATTACGTAATATTTAAATGTACATGAAATACACTAGTAAAGACGGTAAATCCTGAAAATCAAATGACGAAATAAGTGAGTAAATCATTTTTGGTAACGTTTAGCATACTTATGTCAGTATGGATTTACATCAATTATTACACAAGTCCTGACATTAAATGTTACCATAGTTATTATGTTACCATCATTATCATTACTATTATAATTAACATTATCATTATTATAACAATCAACAAATCCACACGATTATCATTATCAACATCTATTAAGATTCACGTCATGAGGTAATGGGTGGCATCATTGCCCTTAAATGCAAATTATATTATCCAATAGCTTTAGTTGTCTAAGGTAGTTCGTAAGATCTTTGCAGTACCCAATAGAAAGTTGAAAGTTAAGTTGAAAAACCAATGATACAAGGACCAGCTATCTTTTAACGGAAGGATGAAAATGCTTGGTCATTGTTCCAGGTGGTCCAATGACATCAGGAGCGTAGGATACTTTCCTTTATTTCCCGATATTTTGAGTTTCTTTTAAAAGATCCTTTCATGAAATTCTTTATTGCCTGTTCCTTTTTCTCGCACTTGAACAATAAGAGGACACGCAACGTTTTCTGTGAAGCACGACCTTTGTTTCTCATAGTTATCACTGGCACTATTATAATTATTATTACTTTTATAATTATTATTATTGTAATCATTTTTTCCTTGTTAATGTCATTATTATCATAAATATAAAGAGAGAAGAAATCAGAACATTCGTCACTTGCTTTCATGCTGAATTTTATCTTTTTCCTTTTTTATTTCAAAATTTACGAAATAATAACAAAGATGGTATTATTTATTGAATGATTATATTACGTCCAAAAGTTTTTTCTCTTTTCTAATTATCATTTTTATTATTAAAATCATTGTTATCATCATTAATAGCTATTTAGTTTGTTTTTCTCACCATCCGTTGTAGCTTCCGTGGGTTTACTCTGTGGACCTTCACCTTTGGCAGTTGCAGCCGAAATGTGAAAGGAGTAAGTAGTCGATGCTCTGAGCCCATTTATAACCACTTTTTGTCTATATCTTTCCACGTGCCTTCGTATTATTTTCTTGCCATCCCTATAACTTATTATGATATACTCAGTGAGATTGCCATTCAAATCACGCTCAGGAACAGGTTCCCATGCCAATTCAATACTAGTACTGTTCTTTGTTACTGCAGGGATCCATTTCGGTGCTTCGGAAGGTGCTGAAACGCATATAATCAATTTTAAGGAGTTATACATGTACAATAAAATACAATTGATTTACTTCAAGTCATCGTCTTGTTGGTCACTGCCTTTATCAAATGACTCATAAGGCCCTGCGCGCGCAATCCCTTAGAAAAACACAGGGAAACCTGACGTCCGTGGGGCCGGACGGGTTGACGCGAGCCAGTCCGAGAGAAGCCGTCCGCCCTTGCATTCAAGCAGCTTTGTTGCAAAAAACTTAACGGAAAAAAAGAAAAGAGTGAAAAAGTTGCGTTTTTTGATGAATTGTGAGTTCTCACTCGAGAGAAAAAAAAAAGCTGGAAAAGTTTATATTTAAATTATTTTGTGGTTGTCCATCTATCTCGTCATATTTAGGTTGAAATAACTCTTTTGAATTTTCAGCACTGCGTGGTCAAATGATATAACGCTTATTGACTGAGTTTGGTCGTGGAGGACGGGAAAATATTTGGCTCTCGGTCGTGACGTAAGGAACGAGTGCGACTCTTCTGGACCACTAATATAACGAAGTAAAGGAAAACCAAACAAATATTGGATTACTTTGACTCTGGGTTGAAAGTTGCTCAAAAACCTTGACACGCATAGTGGTTATGGTTTGTCGATTTATCAGTTGTTGAGAGATATCGCTTCTATGGGAACATCAAAAATACGGGGAGACCATTAATATTCTCAAAAAAATAGATAAAAAACAAAACAACAAAAAATGCACAGAACAGTCAGGTTTTGGTACTGTCGGAGTTGCTCTTCATGAAAAAAGTAAGATAGATGCGTGTTGGTTGAATATTAGCGATTGCGTTACTTAGTGTTTTGAGCACTTTGTCGACAGAAATCTTCTAAGCAACTGGACGACTGTTTAAGCAACTCACCATCTTCATCTGTCTTTCTCTCCTCAATTTTACTATGACCACTGACACCCTTGCTGTTGAAGGCCTGTATGGCGAACTGGTATGGTGTGTACTCATCTAGAAATGCTAAGACTAAAAACGTGATATCGGCTCCGTTCACAGTTCTGTTCTTCCATGATACCTCTGGCTCGCTTTTTCTCTTGTACAGGATGTAATAGCCCAGAATATCACCTCTAGCGTCTTCCTTAGTGAGCATCTAGATGACAATGATAATAATACTAAACTGTGATGAGGGAGCCGAGTAGAATAAAATTAATCAACAAAGGTATCAAACTGCTATTAATTTCAACATGTTGAGTAATAATTCACTCACACGGCATTTTAACCATGCTCCTTTCGGTTTCCAGTCTCTCCAAGCAATAATGATGAATATTAATATCTTTTAGCCACAATTACTTGATAAATATACCACATGCAACATCACTTCCTAAATTGTATTGCAGTACAACGCGATAGATTCATTTCTTTAGCTCCTGCAGCCATTTCAAAAGATGTTTATGCATTCCTTGTAATGTTAGCACAGTTGTGACTACTCGGAACCACAGTTAATTAGTAAATAAGTCACCAAGAACTGTTGCGAAAAAAAAAGTGTCCAACCTGCCCGCTGCGCATGTCTTAGTATTGTCTTTTCTGAGTGTTATAGAGCAAAGCTATTTAAAAAAAACTTTTGATAACGGTGTCAGTGGAGCAGGAAACTCTAATAAATGCTAAGTGAAAAAAAGTGGGTTTACTACCTGCCAAGAAACGTTAACAGCAGTAGAATTGAGGACAGTCACGTTAAAAGGTGGGGCGGAACTTGGTACTGTAAACAAATAATAGCACATTTCTCCCCGTGAGTTATAAGAAATATAGAATTGAAGTATAGAGTTTTCATAACAAAGCCCAATGGTATAATAGCAATACATTTACAGTTAAAAAAGTCAACTCAAAGCATAGGTAAAGCCTAGTGCAGAGTTAAAAAATAACGGACAAAACATTGCAAAAAACACAAAAAAACAAACAGACAAATGACACGAAGTAAATGTAAGACAAGTGGTAAAAGCTCAACATCAACTTAATCAATTTATCAGTTGCCGAAGGAATCTCCAAAATACAGGTATATGATAAGATTTATCAAATTAAAAGGAACTTAAAATATAAGAAAAAGAGCACCTTCTTCTTCGGTGGTAACATTTACTACAGAGCTGTAGTTACCAGAACCAATCATGTTCCTGGCAAACACCCTGAGGTAATATGTTGTCCAAGGAAGCAGCTCTTTGATAGAAACTCTTGTGGAGTAAATAACACAATTATTCTTTAAGAGTGTTCCTTGACATATGGCATCTCTGAAAGTCTGCTTATCTTCACTGATTTCCACTGTGTAGTTCTGAATGGCACTGTTTCCATTAGAACCAGCCGTCCAGGAGACATTTACTTCCCGTGAAGCTCTCGAGATCACTTTGACATCCTCTGGTGGGTCTGGTACATCTGTAGGAAAAAACAAACAAACAAACAAACAAAAAAAGAAACAAAAAAGAACAAGAAATTAGAATTACCGTTAATGATTGCTAAACGTCTCCACTAAAAAGTTAAGGACAGATCATGGAGAGCAATTAGTCAAACAGACATTTGATGCGCGAAAGAGTCCCTGTTTACAATGACGTCTTTGAAGATATCGATGTTGATGAAGTAAAACGATGTGACTTCAAACATAAAACTTGTAGCATTATGAATTTTTTTTTTCCTTTGGCAACGTTTCCTCTCATATCATACTACGGCATACAGCTTGTGCACGCAACAAAGCAATTTAATAAAATATTGCATATCACAGCACTTTTGAAACAACACTGAGTAATATCTGAAAACATTTAAAGCTAATTTACTCACACTGCACTGTGAGGGTAGCTGCAGATGAATATGATATATTCTTGCTGTTTTCAGCTACACATCTGTATTTCCCTGAGTCTGAGCGGTGAACTTCTGCAATTTCTAAACTGTGACTATTGTTCCTTGAGGACAAGTTTAATCGACTATTTCCTGTTACATTTAGGTCTTTTCTGTCCTTTTCCCATACAACACTGGGAGTTGGGTTCCCCACGACTGAACAACTAAAAGTCACATTATCTCCTCTTACTATTGTGACATTCCTCGGATGTATGGAGATTTCAGGTGCAACTAAAAAAAAAATAGTTATTAATTAGAAAATCGTGCAAGTTTGATAAGTTTCAGAGATATGCGAATTATCAAACAGATTTCTCAATGCGAAATAGAAATTATCATTCAATTACAAGCTGAAACATTTACTCAAGTGTCCATAGCTACATAGCCGTGCGGTTCCAAAGCTTCTCTTACTTTTCTTCCAAATTCTTTCTCGTGTCAAATTTTTCTCAACTTGTTTCTATTTTTCCTTTCGTCTGTAATTTGTTTACTCAAACGTAATGCGACCATCTGCAGCTAACATGTTTGCCGCTTGACGTAATTCGCAACCCAAGAAAGTGTACCTAAGAGCCACAGTACAAAGCTGGCGACCTTGAATTTATCTAAACTGGGAAGCTTAAAAGCCGCTGTTTAACTAACCGTTAACCTTTTTCGAACCAAAACATTACGGCCTTTTTTTAGGACTATCGAGCCCTTGTTAATGATCCAAATAACTCGTTGTTGACTTACACTGGACATCTACAACAGCAGCCATAGACGTATCATTTCCGAGGCTGTTGTTCGCCACACATCGGTATGCTCCGCTGTCTACTCGGCTCGCTTTGGTAATTGCCAACTGCTTTTTGTCTGCTGAAAAGCTGATCCTGGAATTGTTGCCAATGTCAGATCCATCTTTGGTCCATGATAGAGTAGGGAACGGATATCCAGTAGCATTACAGTGTAACGTAACGCTTTCTCCCTCTGTTTCTGTCACATTACTAGGATGAGTGGTAATCTCACTTTTATCTACGATTGTAAAACAGTTGCAATGGACATTAGCAACACTAGCTATAAGCGCCAATATGTTTTTGAATTCGACAATTCAATGGTCGTTCATGTTTACAGCAGACATGGCTGAACCAATTGAAATGACCTGCAAGAACAAAATGACTGTTTTTCCAGACTCTCGAGCTCACTTTCTACCGAATAAGTTACAAGAATTCAATGAATACTTTACTGGGCCCCACTGAAAACCGCCTTGGCGAGCTGGGTTCCTTCATTAAAAATCGTTATTATTATTATTATCATTATTATTATTATTGTTATTACTATTATTGTTAATACTTACATTCTACAACTAATGTAGCAGCGTCTGAGCTGGCATTACCAATGCTATTGTTAGCCACACAATGGTATTTTCCTCTGTCTGTTCTGTACACATTTATTATCCTCAACTCGTTGCTCTCTGCTGAATAACTGATCCTGGAATTATTGCCAATAGAATGTCCATCTTTTTTCCATGATATTGCTGGTAATGGATTTCCAGTCGCGTTACAATAAAAGGTGGTGTTTTGTCCTTCCTTCACCGTGTCATCAGAGGGATCAGTGATAATTTCCGGTTCATCTGAAACGAAATAGATAGACGGATATGAATTTTATCCTAGTTCCTCATTCACTCAGTATCTCTATACAAATGGTACTCGGTTAATTATTCTGAAAGGTATTCACCTTTTCCAACGAAAAAAATTCCCACTTTAAAGCAAACCCGTGTACGCTGATTATAAAGAAACAGGAGAATACATTAAAGATTGGTCTTTGGAAGAGAATCGATATCTTAAAAGACAATCCAATGAACTCACATTTCACATTTAATTTAGCAGCTTTTGATGTATCGTTTCCAAGTTTGTTGCTCGCCACACATCTGTATTCTCCACTGTCATTTCTGTTCACATTCGTTATCGTCAAAACTTTATTGACAACTGAATAACTGATCCTCGAATTGCTAGTTATAGGCGACTCATCTTTAGTCCATGAAGTTGTCGGTAGTGGATTTGCAGTAGAATTACAAGAAAATGTCACGTTTCCTCCTTCTTCTATATCCCTGCTTTTAGGACGAATAGTAATCTCAGGTTTATCTGCAATTTTGAAATTGATCTTGTTAGCAAAGGGCAAATAACTGATAAACAAAACGTCTGCATGGAGATGCATACATGACTGTACATTCTTTTTTCTGCTATAAAAAAATCATATAATGAAAGGTGTACTGCAGAGAGTGGGAGCAAATGTATTCAAAGGCCATGTTTATCAGACAATAATAGTATCAAAAGTTGACTACAGCGGAAACAAAAATAAAGGGTGAATTAGAGAAAAAAGCGCGAAAGCTGCTGTCAGTCGACGCTGATTATCAAAACGTCACTCATACCTTAGTAAGAAAGTAGAATATTCTTACCAGTACAGTAGTGAGATGGGAACTTACATTGGATGTCAACAGTAGCAACGTTTGAGGTATCATTTCCCAAGCTGTTGTTCGCTACACATCGGTAGTGGCCGCTGTCTGTTCTGTTCACATTTGATATGGTCAACAGCCTGTTATGTATTGAAAACCTGATCCTGGAATTGTTGTTTATGGGAGATCCATCTTTGGTCCATAATATTATCGGTGTTGGGTTTCCAGTGGCATTACAAAATAAAGTCAAATTACTTCCCTCTTCTTTTGTGACATTCGCTTGAGGATGAGAGACAATTTCAGCTCGAACTGCAATTAAAAAAAATTTACATTGCAAAGGACTAACACAAAAGCATAAATATAACATGATAACAAATTTCGTTATACGACCGCTTGGCTCGCGGTTTGCTTTTTCAGCGTATCTTTGCCCCACAGTCAGACAACTGACTGATCATTCCTCAATATTTCGGTGAAAGGAAATAAAGTGGTACCACAAAAAGAAGCTCTTTATGAAGAAAGGCTGCATAACGTCAGATAATAACATGCTTAACCACACAATAGTTGTACTGCGTACAAGAAACGGTTCCAATTTAGAATATATGTTACCATATCGCTTACAAACAAGCCACTATCTACACTAACGTACGATAGCAACTAGCATTTTCAAAATACAGAAACTAGTCACTTCCCATCGAGGCAATTATCTCCTCGTAAAACATGAACTAGACCAAGAGTAAGCATGTCAGTAATTAGTTTGAAAATCATCGGAATTCTTTCGGTCAAAATGAGTATTTTGAATGAAATGCGAGGATAAAATGTATAATTCTCGAAGTATATGTTGGTAATCTAAACTAAGCTTACCTAGGTAAGAAATTAAAAGCAATGAATTCGATCAAATTTACTGTATTTAAGCGGGTTAGCAGATTTAATCGAGATAATCACACGAGTAAAATGAAACATTCGAATTACAATATCAAAACATTTTGCTTAAGTTTATGGACTGAAACAGTGAATCTCAACAAATTCAGGTTAACAAGATCCTTTTCGCACACTACAGAGAATTTTATCCGCTTACATTGTGAATATCCGGAGATTTAAATTGATATAATCGATGGGCAGCCAGGGCCTATACCTCGGATGGAAGTCAACGAGGCTGATTTCTACTTCCAAATCCGTTAAAATTCTGTCTTCGAATATTGGAAAATTCCTTTTACCTCCTTGAGTAGATGAATAAAACACTAACAGTAATAGGACGAAGAATCAGCGAAAAAGACGCCCTCTGAAGGTAAAAATTCAGGCAAGAAGATCGTCCGTACTAAAAAAGCATAGGTTGATCCAAAAGGAAGAAGAAAGAACTGCCGATGAAAAAATAATTACTGCTAGAGCTGCAAAAGCAATTATTATGAGGTATCCATATGACACGTATTCTGATTGGCTGAAACAGCGTGCTTAATCAGAGTAGATTTTCTGCCGAGCTTGAGAGAGCCAAGTAAATACTCGACATTCCATGATGGATTTATGGCACATCCAAAGGCCTACTAGTGCTTATTCATGGCTAATTTAAATTACTTACACTGAACATTAATCGTGGAAGCGTTCGAAGTATCCGCTCCAACTGAGTTGTTCCCTCGACATGTGTAATTGCCACTGTCTATTCTGTTCACATTCCTTATTGTCAACTGTTCATAGCCTGGAGACAAAATGATCCTGAAGCCGTTACTTATAGGATATTCATTCTTGTACCATGATATTGTTGGAACTGGATTTCCAGTAGCGTTACAATATATAGTCACGTTTTGACCTTCTCTTGTTCTGATATTGTGAGGATGCGTCGCGATCTCAGGTTTATCTGTGGATAAATACAGTATTACCAAAAAAAAATTATTATAAATATCAATTTCGAGTTATAGGAATTGTTTTCCAAATGTATTAAACAGTTCACAACTTGTCCGCTGTTTAATTTATTGCTAATGATATATATATATATATATAGCTCTTTGGCATACAAAGCTTTGCTTTCATGTCCAAGTTGAGCACTCTACTAGGATGAGTCATTGCTGCTAGCATTATGCATGCTCACTAGTTTTTCTAGTTTGAGCACTCTGGCATGGCTTAGATGATCCCACATATGTGAGATCACTCGGGGTGGCTATATGGTCTTACCTCCATCCTAGCATCAGCACTGCACTGATGAGGCCCAGAAGGCCGAAACAGTACTGTCTGCAGTTAGTTATCGTTAGGAATATTCGTACTATCGTTTATATACTTTACAAATTTGCATAATAGGAAAGTGATTTTTTTTTAGCCCTCTGTGTCATACTTTCATTCACTTGAGCTCAGTTTACTTAAATATGTTTTGCTGGTGTGAATGGATATTAACTAGACTATGCTCTGTGGAATTAAACAATTCAGCGAGACAAATGACTCATCTGAATAAAGAGAAACGTTTCCGTGCGCAATCCGGGGCTTACAATTCGATTATCGTTCGCTCTCCATTTATGATGGCGAAAACTGAAGTGTAATGAACGTAAGAATACAAATAAATCATTATTTAGGAAAAATCCCTTTTGGTAATCTCTGACTTGTTTTGAAGCGAACAGTATATATGCTTGTAATATTTCAAAAAATGGCAAAGCTGAAACGTAGCTTCAGCAGCAAAGGGGGACATGTAGGATACTGAAAATCTCCGTAGAGATTAGTGAAGATGGAGATTAGTGAAGATCAGGAAGATCCAGAAATCTCAGAGCGACAAGTCCTGAATTCTCTTATGCGTATAAAGAAAACAGCAACCGGACCAGATGGCATCCCGTATACTATATGGAAAGACCACGCCGAGCTATTCGTTCCAGTGATCACCTGGATTTGGAATCTGTCTCTGGTTCTACCAAATATATTATACGGGCTGTCCGTATTTGGCGCTGTAAATTCCGAATTAACAACAATCCAATGTTTCTTAGATCGATGTTATAAGCGCAAGTATACATCCGATCACATTAATGTTTATGAATTGTTAGTTCAACAGGACACGCGTATCTTCAAGAATGTTTTTAATAATACAATACACCCTTTAAGAGCTATAATGCCAAAAAAGAAATTAACCAAGTACAATCTGAGGAAAGAGACAAGTCACCATCCTAAAATAAACACTGATAGGTTCAAAAACACGTTTGTTAATCGCTTAATTTTTAAACATAATCTAGTCTTATAATTTTTATCTTGATTTTCTCTGTAATTTATATATATACCTTCTTTTAATGTTGTAACATAGGATATGTGATTATTTATCTTATGACTTAATAAAGATTAAAGATTAAAGATTAAAGTAGAAAAAATGCAAACATGGCTCGTGACTTGCAAGGCTTATAAAACAGACAGTTCGGAAAGTTCAAAAAGAGCACGAACTTATGAAATAACCTGAAAGCGCACTTCGCTGTAGGCCTTGTCTCGCGTCCGCTAACAGTACATAATTGTATTAATAGTGCTTTACTTACATTGCACATCTAATATGACAATTATCGAGGTATCGTTTCCAACTTCATTATGGGCGACACACAGGTATCCTCCGCTGTCATGTCTGTTCACATCTGTTATCGTCAGGTGCGACGTATTTGCTGACATATTAATCCTGTTGTTGCTTTTCACAGTATTTTCAACTTTAAACCATGAAAACTGTGGCTCTGGATTTCCGGTAGCATTACAAGTTAAGGTCACATTATTTCTTTCTGTTACCGTAACATTCTGCGGATGTTTTGTTATCTCAGGGCGATCTGAAATGCACAAAGAAACTCTCTTAGCAAGGCTATGCGTAGAAATTGTTTTCACGATTATGTTACTATACAACAAGTTGTGGTCAAATTCTTGAACAAAAATTTTTGCGTATATCTTGAACAAGTGTTCAGAACAGTTTTTAGCAAGATGATCGAGGTATAATGAAGTTATCAAACGTGTTTTACATGGATAAATCTCTTTATTTGGTAGATATTTCTAATAGCTGTCATGTAAGATGTGCTCACTTCCAAATTTTTTAACCCTCTAACTCCCAGATCAAATTTGTAATTCTCCTCAATGCCAACCGTGAAATTCTTATAATGTTAGTTAAGAGAATTTAGTATTTTATCAAATAGTTATTCCCTGATTTTTCTTTATTCTCTTTACTTAGCTGCTTAATATTGCATTGACACAGTAAGGAGAAATTCTCTCTCGGTCACTCATGGGAGTTAAAGGGTAAAAGCATATTCCCGACCACCTTATTACGGCCATTCATGGGAGAGTTTGTTCTCCGACCAAATTATTAATTACTTCTTACGAGCATTTCGTAATCGTTTTCGAGGACTCAAAAAAGAAGATTTTAAAATATCGATTTCCCCGTAGACGTTACCTAAAGGTGTTTACTGCGAAAGAGACTTTGCGTATTAAAATGCTCTGTTCTGTTTCTAATCGATATCTTAAAGGACAATCCAATGAACTCACATTTCACATTTAATTCAGCAGCTTCTGATGTGTCGTTTCCAAGTTTGTTGTTCGCCACACATCTGTATTTTCCACTGTCATTTCTGTTCACATTCATTATCGTCAAAACTTTATTGACAACTGAATAACTGATCCTCGAATCGTTAGTTATAGGCGATTCATCTTTAGTCCATGATGTTGTCGGTAATGGATTTGCAGTATAATTACAAGAAAAGGTCACGTTTCCTCCTTCTTTTATTTCCACACCTTTAGGATTAGAAGTAATCTCAGGTTTATCTGCAATTCCGAAATCAATCTTGTTAGCAAAGGGCAAATAACAGATAAACAAAACGTCTGCATAGAAATGCATACATGACTGTACATCCGTTTTCTGTTATAAAAAAAGCATAGGATGAAATTTTCCTGCAGAGAGTAGGAGCAAATGTTCTTCAAAGGCCATGTTTATTAAACAATAATTATAACAAAAGTTGACTATAGCGGAAACAAAAAAAAAGGGTGAATTGGAGAAAGAAGCATGAAATCTGCCGACAGTCGACGCCGAGTATCAAAACGCTATTCATACCCTGGTAAGAGAAAGTAGAGTATTCATACCAGTACAGTAGTGAGATGAGAACTTACATTGAATGTTAACAGTAGAAACGTTTGAGGTATCATTTCCCAAGCTGTTGTTCGCTACACAACGGTAGTGGCCGCTGTCTGTTCTGTTCACATTTGATATGGTCAACAGCCTGTTATGTTTTGAAAACCTGATTCTGGAATTGTTGTTTGTGGGAGATCCATCTTTGGTCCATAATATTATCGGTGCTGGGTTTCCAGTGGCATTACAAAACAAAGTCAAATTACTTCCCTCTTCTTTTGTGACATTCACTTGAGGATGAGAGACGATCTCAGCTCGATCTGCAATTTGGAAAAAATTTTACTTTGAAAGGACTATCACGAAAGCATAAATATGACATGTCAACAAATTACGTTATGTGACCAATTGGCTCGCGGTTTGCTTTTTCAGCGTATCTTTGCTTCACAGTCAGACAACTGACTGATCATTGCTCAATCTTTCGTTTCAAGGAAATAAAGTGGTGCTAGAAAAGGAAGCTCTTTATGGAGAAAGGCTGCATAACGTCAGATAGTAACATGCTCAACTAAACATAAGTTGTACTGGGTACAAGAAACGGTTGCAATTTATAATGTATGTTGTGATATTCTTTACAAACAACCCAGCCACTAAAAGTCAAATTTTAAAAAAAATTTACGTCCGATGGCAACTAACATTTTCAAAGTACAGGAACCAATCACTTCCCATTGAGACAAAATCTCTTCGTAAAACATGAACTAGACTAAGAGTAAGTATATCAGTAATTAGTTAGAAAACCATCGGAATTCTTTCGGGTCAAAATGAGTATTTTAAATGAAAAGCGAGTGTAAAATTTGTAATTATCGAAGCACATCTAGGGAAAATAAACTAAGCTTACCTTGGTAAGAAATTAAAAGCAATGAATTCGATCAATCTTTTCTGTATTTAAGCGGGTTAGCAGATTTAATCGAGGCAATTACACAAGAAAAATGAAACATTTTAATTAAATTACAATATCGAAATATCTTGCTTAAGGTAATGGACTGAAACAGTGAATCTCAACAAATTTAGCTTAACAAGGTCCTTCTCTCACACTCGAGAGAATTCAATCCATTTGCATTGTGAATATCCAGATATTTAAACTGATGAAATCAATGCGCGGCCAGGGCCTATACCTCATATATGGAAGTCAACGAGGTTGATTTCCGCTTCCAAATCTTTTAAAATTCTGTCTTCGAATAATGAAAAATGTCTTTTACCTCCTTGAGCAGATGAATAAAACACTAACAGTGATAGGACGAAGAACCAGTGAAAAAGACGCCCTCTGATAGTAAAAATTCCGGCAAGAAGATCGTCCATACTAAGAAAGCATAGTTTGATCCAAAAGGAAGAAGACAGAACGGCCGATAAAAAAAAATAATTGTTGCTAGAGCTGCAAAAGAAATTATAATGAGGTATCTATGGGACAAGCATTCTGATTGGCTGAAAGAGTGTGCTAAATCAGAATGAATTGTTCGGCCAAGCTTAAGGGAGCCAAGTAAATTCTCGACATTTCGGATGGATTAATGGCACATCAAAAGGACTGCTAGTGCTTATTCATGTACAATGACTAATTTAAGTCACTTACACTGAACATTAATCGTGGAAGCGTTAGAAGTATCCGTTCCAACTCTGTTTTTCGCTTGACATGTGTAATCGCCACTGTCTATTCTGTTCACATTCCTTATTGTCAACTGTTCATGGCTTGGTGACAAAATGGTACTGAAGCTGTTATTTATAGGATATCCATTCTTGTACCATGATATTGTTGGAGTTGGATTTCCAGTAGCGTTACAATATATAGTCACGTTTTGACCTTCTCTAGTTGTGATATTTTAAGGATGCGTCGCGATCTCAGGTTTATCTGTGGATATTTACAGTATTATCATTAAAAAAAATTGTTTTAGAAAATAATACAAATTTTCATGTTCATTAAATAGTAATTGCTTTCCAAACGTATTTAAGAGAGGATGTCAGCATCCATCGAACAAATTTGAATTATTGTGGCAAGTCGCCCAAAATTCATTTTCTTCCCTACTTTCGTATTTTGTAGCCCAATATGTTCTTATAATTGTGGTGTAGTTTTTTGGTGAAAATATATTTCAGTTTTCGAGAAATGATTTTTTTCGTTCGACCGCTCAAATATGCAAATTTTCATCGTGAATATTACCCGAGTTGTGTGACCTCATGTAACGAATTTACTTGACCTCCCATATTTCTGTTAACATAACCCCTTGTTTTTTCATCTAAACTTAATCCCCTGTCATTATTGAAGCTGGCAAAGAAATATTTATTTTTTGGTGAATATTTTTGTCTGACATACTTTTTCTATGTCGAAAAGTAGCATCAAAACAAAGACAGTTTTAACAATGACCGATACGACAGAATCTACTGAGCTTCTAGCTTTTAAAAGACAAAAGGATGGTTATAAAGTTACTGTAAAAATTTCCTTGTGTATTTGTGTCGTTCTATCGTGAGATGAACTCAAAGTTCGGCAAAATTTACTTGCTAGCGACTATGAAATATTTGGTTTGGAAGGTGACAGTAACTCATGAGCAGTTTTCAAGGACTATCTTGTTGTAAATGTGGTACGGGAGAAAACGTTCTCGTCAGCTGGAGGGGTAAAATCGTATTTTTACCTTATGGTTTCAAATTTGATATAGCGACTCAAACCAATGAGTGATTAATAAACGTTACTGAAGGAAATATTCTCCACCAATTGGCTAGTTCAACTCGTTATCATTTACCTTTAATTATGATCATTGTCGTATCCCGAGTGCTGTCTAAAATATTCGTGACTTTACAGGTATAATTTCCCCCATCCTTTAGGGAAGCTGCAGTGATTGACAACTGTATTTGACTCTCATTGAAAGATGGAATTGTCACTCTTGAATCATTAATCAGCATTGAAGTATTTCCAGCAATCACAGTTCTGTCTTTTATCCATTGCACTTGAGACACTGGTGGCGACGCTTCATACCGACATATCAGCCGGATATTGCTACCTTTGGCCATATATTGCTCCTGATCGCCATCATTTGTAACCTCGGGTTCAACTGAAGAGTAAATAGCGTCGGTGTTAGAGTTAATAAATAATTCGTGTGGCATTCGTAATAACGTGTGGCATGCAAATCTCGCTTTGTAGCTTTGTTAATGTCGACCTACATTTAACTTTTTAACAAACAAACGATCATCAGTCGACGCCCCATGAATTTCACAACAGGCAAGTACTGGACAAGGTAACGAACAAAATGAAATAGATCCGATAAAATTTTCAATGAAATAAGTAAGAAAAAAATATTTGAGAAAAGACTACAGCTGCACTACCCATTTCGGCATCAAAAACGTGCATCCAAAGGAAAATTGTGCTTCTGGTTAAAATAAACGACCATTTCATATGATATGACCACTTTATAATTAAGGCTCCAGGATGTCAATGCAACTGATAAAGATTATAAATACAGTTATAACCAGTAAGACCTGAAAATAGAACAGTGTACGACACTTACAAAGAACATTCACTTTGAAATTTGAGGTATCATTTCCAACTCTATTTCTCGCCACACATCGGTATTCACCGCTGTCCGTTCTGCTTGTATTCGTGATCGTCAATATCTTATTGCCTAACGAAAAGTTGATCCTAGAATTGCTCTGTATGAGAAATCCATCTTTGACCCAGGATATTGATGGTTCTGGATTTCCAGTAGCGTTACAAGACAGGGTTATATTTTCTCCCTCCATTTGAGTTTTCCCTTCAGGATGGATGGTGATTAGGGGCAGCTCTGTGTGAAAAAGTAGCAGGAGTTGTTAAATTTTATATTCAACTTCCCCTCTTAATATAAGTGATGGAGTGAACTGGCGCTTCATTTTGCGACGTTTGTATTTTCAACCAAGAGACTAAATGTTCTTTTCTCAGAACAGAATACGTTAGTAGTTTTTTACTCAGAGAACTCCTGATTTTCTCAGACAAAAATGAAGCAGATTGGGCTTGATAAGCCTTTCTTAAAAGGTACTTTCGATGCTCCACGTGAACGATAAGGTCTTCGCCTGTGATTGAGTATCTTTTGTCATTAGACCAAGTAGTTCCATTCCGAAAATCTATGAGTAGCTAAAGATTTTGAATGAATTTTTCCTGATTGCATTGATTCTGTTGTAACGTCACATGGGCGACAGTTCACACACTAACAGGGCTCCCCTCTAGAACTGGTCCTCATTCCCCTCTCTTCTCCAAAATGAAAACGAAAGCTCGCCTCTCCAATAAGCATTTCATCCGGACGGCGAGGAAATTAAGTAGCCCTTCTATGCCTCCTTAGAGCGCTTACGGTAAATGAGATTCCTACCGTTCCATGAATTTAAATTTCCAATATCCGAAAAAGAGACAAACGCAGTTGTAAAGTGCTTAGTAGCATTTATTACCTTGGCTTATGACTGACGTCATCTGGGATGAGTTACCCACAGCATTAATAACAAGGCAGGTGTAGTTTCCAGTATCGTGAGAGGTACTTTGATTTATAAGCAACTGTATTTGACTTTCATTGTAGTGTGAAACAGTAAGGCGGGACTCGTTGACCAGCAGACTAGAATTTCTAGCAATCACATGTCCATCTTTTATCCACTGCACTTCAGACACGGATGGCACAGCATCGTACTCGCATAGGAGTTTCTTTACTTTACCAACAATTGCAAACTGTTGTGGACCACCAATCACTGTGACTCCAAGTATATCTACATTTACAAAATGAAGCGTAAATTGCATATATAATTAATAAATATATTTTCTCCGTCCATTGAATTTTTCCCTTCTGGATGGATGGTGATTAGGGGCAGCTCTGTGTGAAAAAGCAGCAGGAGTTGTTAATTTTTATATTCAACTTCCCCTCTTAACATAAGTGATGGAGTGAACTGGTGCTTCATTTTGCGACGTTTGTATTTTCAACCGAGAGGCTAAATGTTCTTTTCTCAAAACAGAATACGTTAGTAGTTTTAACTTGTAAAATTTATAAAACAAACACTTTGTCCCACATAAGAGAGCTCCTGATTTTCTAAGACAAAAATGGAGCAGATTGGGCTCGATAAGCCTGTCTTAAAAGATACTTTCGATGCTCCACGTGAACGATAAGGTCTTCGCCTGTGATTGAGTATTTTTTGTCATTAGACCGAGTAGTTCCATTCCGAAAATCTATGAGTAGCTAAAGATTTTGAATGAATTTTTCCTGATTGCATAGATTCTGTTGTAACGTCACATGGGCGACAGTTCACGCACAAACAGGGCTCCCCTCTCGAACTTTTCCTCATTCCCCTTTCTTCCCCAAAATGAAAACAAAAGCCCGCCTCTCCAATAGCCAACTCATGCGGATGGTGAGGGAATTAAGTAGCCCTTCTATGCCTCTTTAGAGCGCTTACGGTAAATGAGATTCCTACCGTTCCATGAATTTAAATTTCCAAAAAGAGACAAACGCAATTGTAAAGTGCTTAGAAGTATTTATTACCTTGGCTTACGACTGACGTCATCTCGGATGAGTTACCCACAGCATTAATAACAAGGCAGGTGTAGTTTCCAGCATCGTGAGAGGTACTTTGATTTATAAGCAACTGTATTTGACTTTCATTGTAATATGAAACAGTAAGGCGGGACTCGTTGACCAGCAGACTAGAATTTCTAGCAATCACATGTCCATCTTTTATCCACTGCACTTCAGACACGGATGGCACAGCATCGTACTCGCATAGGAGTTTCTTTACTTTACCAACAATTGCAAACTGTTGTGGACCACCAATCACTGTGACTCCAGGTATATCTACATTTACAAAATGAAGCGTAAATTGCATATATAATAAATAAATATCTTATATTTTCAAGAACCAGTTTCATAGATTCACCAATTCAGTTCCGCACCGTTTTGCCGTCTAACTAAATCTGGAATCCGCTATTAGAGGCCCTTAAGGCAACTTGTCCTACGCCTTTAAAACCAGTGTCAAATAGGGAGCATAATTGTGTATAACTTCATCATCTCGTTTGAAAAACTTTTATGGCCAAGCGAGGCTTTTGCGCGGAAAGCAAGATGAACCGTCTCAGTTTCACTGGAAAAACTTCAGGCTTCATTTATTAAAAACACTCATAACTTACAATGCACTTCCAAGGTAGTGTTATGGGAAGTAACATTTCCAAGACTGTTTTCCGCCACACATCGGTACAATGCACTATCTGTTCTGCGCACATTCTTGATAGTGAGTTGCCTTCCTTCGTAAGAAAAATTCATTCTGGAACTGTTATTAGTGTTCAAAGAAAACCCATTTATGCTCCATGATATTGTCGGTAC